ATAAAATAAAATAAACATGTAAAGAGCTTATCACAGTGCCTGGTTCATAGGAAATGCTTTATAAATAATAATTATCACATTATATTTTACAACGAGATCACACATGGTGTAATGCAAAAGGGACCTGATGCATATAGCCTACTGCTAGCCAGTTCAGCATATCTAGTCTTTTCCCTTATTATTCTAACCTTAATTCATCTACTTGCCTGCAGCAGAATTATGCCAGACTTTGATTAAGGGCTGGTTAGATCTAATGATTTAAAATCATGGATTAGTTTAGAATTTATATTTTATAATTATAATTTACAAATTCTTTCAGATCATAAAACTGCTACTGTTATTTTTTAATGTATAGAATCCTTGAGGCCTAGATTGTATTGAAGAGTTACATTTTCAATGAACTGGTAACCCCATAACATTATCGGATAGAGTCAAATACTGAGCCTTTTCTACCGGTAAAGAATCCTGAGTTGGAAGTGGCTATTTCAGATGTCTTTTTTTTCCTTTGAATGCTGTATAAATTTGTTCATTTGTGCACAAACTCATTTGGAAAATAAGATAAAACCATACTTTGTTACACAGAATTCACAATTAACTTCTATAATAAGAACACATAAAAAATATTGCCTTGAAAATAGTGTCTCCCACTATGCTGCCCAGGCTGGTCTCAGGTCCTAGGCTCATGTGATTGTCATCCTCTCTCAAGGACCTGGAAATACATATACATGCCACTATGCCAGGGAGCATTACTTCTAATAAGATTTTATCAGTTTTGTATAGCTTGCTTTCTATATTATTTGTGTGTGTGTGTGTGTGTATGCCAGAGGATAACTTGTGGAGATTGATTTTTCTCTCTCTGCTATGTGGGCTGAGAATCAAACTCAGGTTGTTTGGCTTGGCTGTAGGTGTTTACCCAATGAGCATATTACTGGACTAAAAATTTCTTAAAGAAAATAAACATAAAAGCTAAATGAAAGAACATGGGCAAATATAGTGAAATAATGTAAGATGTGCTGTTAAAGAATATCTAAATTTGAATTTTAGTCTTGTCATGTTTTGATTTTGTGAATTTGGGTGTCTTGGTAATCTAATCCATAACATGAAAATCAGGATACCTACCCTACAGGGTATTTCGATTATGAAGTGAAAAAATACACATGAAGCACTAACTATAATGTTAGTTAATTAACTTTCTCTTCATTGCCTTCTATCTACAGTGATAACTAATATTGGTATGAATAAGCAGCTAAATCTGTTTCCCAGCAATTTACCTATTGTTTTTTTACTTATCTATGTGCATGGATCTTTTGACTACATCTGTGTGTACACAATATGACTGCTCAGTGGCTGTGAGCCACCGTGTGTATGTGTGTGTGTGTGTGTGTGTGTGTGTGTGTGTGTGTGTGTGTGTGT